ATACAAGTGAAAACGTTCAATAGCATGCAGGCGTGGGCTGGGGGACTGGCGGTTGGGCCGTCCGCGACGAGGTGGGGGCCGTGCGCCATGATGCCGTAAGGTGGAAGATGAAATTGCAGAGTCTTTTGCCGCAGTCCCTTCCGACCCTTACCTAGTTGGCATTGACCCGGATGACCTGGACGAGGTCGAATTTGAGGGCGCTTTTCCTTGGTAATGGTGTCGTGGAAGCTGAGGAGATTGCAGCTTCGACCGACAATTCGGACGACGGGTCCGTGGAAATGATGGGCGCAGAGGGCCCAGCGGCACCATTGCCGAACCCGTTGGGAGCATTCCTGGCAGCCACTGAACACATCGATGTTGACCTGCTCGCAACCTGCGGTCAAAACCCAGGTCTCTGGCAGCGCCTCATCACCAAAGCCTGGAAACAGGCTGTTCGGCTACACCACCCTGATGCCCAGGGCAGCCACAACCAGTTCCTTGACCTGATCGAGGCCAAGGAGACCTTGGTTGCTTGGGCGGCTGAGTTCAAGACCGTCAAGGAGGCTTGGCCTCAAGCGCTCCCCAAATGTTTTTGCGACAGCTGTCTCGCACTCATTCAACGCATGCTGACGTGCCCAAAATGCCTGGGCCTCAAAGCAGTTTGGGATATTTCTCCGGACTGCAAAGCATAAAGCCACCATCCTGCACCTAGCGATGTTGGCGGCCCATGGCTTTTCTGAGGAAAAGGCGATTGAGGAGGTCAGGAAACGACAAAACTCCAAAATGAAGAAACCCATGCTAGTATTATGGAGTATTTCACTGCATTCAAAAAATATTACCTCCTATTCCCAATTTGAGTGTCAGAAACTTGCATAATTTGCGTCCAGCTCAACAATTTCAAGCACATCCGAATCTCTGTTGCAAGGCTTTTCCAGCTTTTCAAAGATTCAAGCTCCCAGAGTTCAATGCCAGCCCCGAGGGTCTGACAAAAGCGATCGCTTAGTGTCGCTGATCTGGGCGGCGTCTGTCTGGATGGACCCCACGTCGGGGGCTGTACGAAAAGGGACAGCGTGGAAAGCGCGTGCAGCGCAACCCGGGCTTCAAAAAACCCGTGGCCATGCGCTGCGCTTCCCATTGGATAGTGTTCTGGTTGCATACGGGGCATACATGACTCGGGCCAGGGTTGTCCAAGGCAAGGTTTGGTGGACAATCTGGAGCGACCCAGCCCTCGGGGACTTCAGGAATCTCTGGTGCGGCTCCAACCTGAGATGACATCGCCCCTCCAGTTTCGTCCCCACCCCTTGCCGTCCGCCGTAAAAACCATAAGCGCAAGGAAAAGCCTCTCGGTACGCATGGTCCAAGAGGTATAGAAAAACGACATAGACAAGGTTGAAGACGTGGCAATCTTCTGCCACAAGGGATCGCGCCCAAGCAGGCAACAGCAGCTTCGATTGTGACCATCCTCCATTGCAACGTCCATGGTCGGCATAGTTGGTGCACTCTTTTCGTGGGCCGAGCATTTCGTGTGGCCCCCCTCGCCAGCACCGCCCGATCTGTGCAATGCAGGGGCCGTCATACTTAGAGTCGCAGTTTAAGGTAATTTGCTTCTTAATCACACTCAGGAATCCGAAGGAATATGCCCCAAGTAAGGCCCAGCGCTGGACAATCCTAGAAAGCCCCATGCAACTCAAAGCCCGCTTCAGGTTTCCTTCCCTACCCACCACCGCCCAACAACCGAAACCGCTCCTGCAAGAAACCATGCGGAAATCACATACATATGTCAGCCCCTAGATGCTTGGAACCTCAAAGTTTAACATGATGTTCGCAAACCCGCAGAGATCCAACCTACAGGTCTAATTCCTAAACCCCTAAAGCTTGAACCCCAAATCCCTCAACCACAAACCCCCAGAAACCCTACTAAACCCCTGAGCTCCCCAATCACAACCCCCTCGAAACCCTACGTGGAGGTTCATGGGTAGTTATAAGTGGGGTTATAAGTCCCCTCATACGGGTTATATCTATAGTTATCCTACTTATAACCCTACTTGTAACTACCCACGAACCTCCAAGTACTAAAGCCCTGAACTCCTGAGGCCTCTGTTACCTCATAGGAGGCCAAAATGGGTTTTGGCCTATGGGGGTGTAGTAGGGATTAGGGTTCCCATAATAGGGTTCATATTAAGGAATCCCGGCCCCCAGAATCTTAAACCCCCCTTTTGGTCTCCCATCAATACCCGAAATCCTGAGGTCTCTCTTACCCGACCTGGCCCGGCCTCGGCGATGTGCTGTTAACCCGCGGGCTGACGCTCCTCGCGGGGAGATTCCTGACTGACGCGCAGACACCGGAAACAATGACAATTGTTTAGGGTTTAGAGTTTAGGGTTTAGGGTCAATTGCAATAGGGACCCAAAAAGGACAGAAGCAGAAGCTTATTATTGGGCTTCATTACGGTGTTTTTATGGGATATCGGGGCCCTATGCTGCAGCAGCAACTACACCCTCGGCGACTTCAGTGACCTCCGAGTTTCGTACTACAAAAGCAAGAATGAGGAGGACCAAGAGTAAGGCCTTGAAGAACAACGAAAACATGATCGCAACTCACGACAGACACAAGAACTACAATTTATCATCGCAATGCTGTTGCAGACCAGCACCGACAAGAAGTACAAGTAATAGTCCAGGAAGAACAACACGAACAGGCGTAAAAACAGTGCCAAGATCGATAGTAGCAGTAATGGAAACAATCAGCAATCACCGGACATGCTGTGCAAGTTTCCGAAACTGGGAGTCTACCCCTGTTACCGATGGACAGAAACATACCTCGGCCCATACCCACCAAGCTCTTGTCTTAATCTTCGTGTTCACGATCCCGACTATGACAGGAACCTTCGGACGCATCGTATGTCACAGAAAGCCTGATAGAGGAGCGTGAATAACCAGAATAGGGTTTCGGAGCATGTTCTAGTAGAAACAGCTAACTACTTTCAATTAAGGGGCCGGGGACTATAAGGGAAGCGTATTACGACTTCTCTAACGTACTATATCACGCTAAGGCAACCAAAGGTCGGCAGGTGAACCGGCATGGGCTCTCGCTTTCGGCACACGAAAGCTCTACCCGGACTGCAATCGCTGGGATGAAAGTGATGGACTTGGAGTTGTCGTCGGGCTTCGGGGGTTTAGGGTTTAGGGGTTCAGGGCTTTGCGGTTTACGCCCTGCTAAGTGTTTGAGGGTTCCTGGTGCTTTTATGACTTCAAATTGAAGACCTTTATTGCAGCTTTAACCTCTAACCCGAGCTTTCTCCAGCAGCTCTGTTCAAGCTGCTGGCCTTTGTTCGGATCGTCCCTCGAAAGCCCATTAAAAAGATCAACTGTTAATCCTGAAACCAAAAGCCCTGAATCCTAATCCCCTGATCCTAAACCCCAAATCCTAATTCCTACACCCTACGCCTTTAAATCCCAATCCCTTAATCCTAGACCCCAAACCTTAAATCCTAATCCCTGAATCCTAGCCGTATCTACACTGTACACGCCCTGCTCGAGCTCGGATACCCGTTTGGGATCCTCTTCGAGCCACGGCTGCAGCGGTCATCAAGGTTTTAAGGGCTTAGGGCTTAGGGGTTTAGGATTTTTAGAGTTGTAGGATATTTAGGGCCTTCAGGAATCAAGATTTTGAGGGCTTAGGGGTTTAAGATTTTTAGTTGTAGGATATTTAGGGCCTTCAGGAATCAAGACTTTGAGGGCTTAGGGGTTTAGGATTTGAGGGTTGTAGGATATTTAGGGCCTTCAGGAATCAAGATTTTGAGGGCTTAGGGGTTTAGGAGTTGAGGGTTGTAGGGCTTTAGTATTTAGGGTTTCAAGGGCTTATGGGCTCAGGGGATTTGCTCTTCGGGAGTCACCAAATCGCTTGGTGAAGACATATACCTGAAACCATAAGGGCATCCTTATGATTCCAGGTAGTTATATGTGTAAGGGCATCTCCGTCATGACTTGAGGAAGGTGTACATTTTGATCAAGGGATTTTCGGATTCTCTGGGTACCTGAAGGATCTACTTGCTCGGAGTTGTAAATACTAGTGCTATAGTTGCCCGTACTTAGAAGGAGTGGAGCCTCACTAGGGGCGCCAACTCTTAGCATAGGGTATATTAAGCCATAGTTTCAATGGGAAACCTAAGGAATAGTACCGGTAAATGTAAATCTCCATATTGGACTTCCATATTCGCAGGATTTGATAGGTTTTACTACGCACCTGAGGTTTGGGGTCTCTTGCTTAGAGCTTCAAGATTCGGGGGAAATTAGGGGTTGTGTATAGGGTTGAAGGTTTAGGGCTTAAGGCACTTTCTTGCATTTTTCGGGGTTTAAGGATTGGGGATTGGATGGAGTGTGGGATTCCCGGCTTCTGTGCTCAGGGTTTGGTGGTTGACAGCTGAGGCTTGATTCAAGCTTCTTGAAGCTTTTCCGGATACCGAGCGGCTAGCCAAAATCTGAAAACCCTAAGCCCTTGATTTGGAAGGCATGCAAAGGCAAGCTTGATTCGCGACAACTTCCGTGCCTAAACCCCAAATTCTAAGCCCGAAATACACCTGAAACCGTTTTGACCTCCTGGTAGTTAGGAAGGCTGATAGCAGCCTTTGTAGAACCCTGATAGTCGCTCTGAACCCCTGTCTAAGACTAAGCTATGGCCTTCATCCTGAACCCTCAAGCCCCAAAATCCCAAATCACAAAATGCCAAGCTGCCGAAGGTGTCAGCTAGCCAACCCTCCGGAAAGCCACGCTTCCGGTGCTCTGAAACCATCCAAGTCCTGAACGCTTCGGGTTTCGGGCTCCTTTGAGGTTCTATGATTCTATGAAGGCTTAGGGTCTAGGTTATAATGAGTGTTGAGAGTTTTTGTGTTTGGGGTCCTGCAAGGGCCAGGAAAGGTTTGCAGAACTTAGCGGTTTCTGTCGGCCTGGGCTATACGAGCTGACGAACGATCGTACATGGTGTTGAAGATCCTGTAGTGTTGATTCAGGGATGCAGAAGTGCTAGCCGAAGTGCTGCCCCGACGGCAGGGCTCCCTCCTCATCGCTCGCGTCAGCCTCAACACCGGCTCGTATCTTAGTCTTTCGTGCCCTTTGCAGAGCATGCAGGATTTGCTCCTGAGTTGGCTTGCAAGTCATTTCGCCACCTCCTGGGCTCGTTTCACAGGAAGCGAACGGTCATCAGGAGTGGTTGCTTTTGTGTGCGATCAGGCCCCAACGATGCGGAAGTTGACCACACCTTCGTGACCCTCGGATTTCTGCTAATCGGTCAATGTTCGCAGGTAGTAGCCTTGAACAGCGGATGCAAAAACCCGGAAATATATTGGGGGGTACATGGAAACAGACCTATAGTTGCGTGACTGATATTCCCACGTGCTAGACCCCTGATCCTTTGAGCAAGGGAGATGAGGAGGGCAGGGCCTACTCCTCGCAACCCTAAGCCGTGTTAAAACTGAATTGCTTAGGGGCTTGGGGTGGGACTTGGGCCCGAATGCCAAACTGTAAATCCCTAAATCCCAAACTACAACCCTCAACGTTGCAGCCATAAAGCCCCAAACAAGCCCAAAGCCTCAGCAGCCTCCAACCCTCCCCAGAAACACCCTACTTGGAGGTTCATGGGTGGATATAAGTGGGGTTATATGTAAGTCGCCTAGTATGGGATATAACGAAAGTTATCCTACTTAAAATCCTCCCTAAAATAACTACCCGTGAACCTCCCTTTATGGAGGCCTTGTACAGAACCCTCATAGATCCCTTAAAGAAACCTCATCCCTGCTTATAACTACCCATGAACCTCCAAGTAGACCCGCCAAGCCCGGGGCCGTGACACCCAGATCGCCTACCGGCAGACAGTAGCCGAGGGCAGCGCTCGAACGCGGAGAAAAGCAGAGATGTGCTGACCTGGCCCGGCCATAAAACCTTAAGCACAAGCCCAAAAACCCTGAAGCCGAAAACCGTATACCGTAAGCCGCTGAGCCCTAGTCTAGTAAGCCCGGAACGTTCAAGGCGCATGTTCCCGTTGACGAGCTTTACGTGTTTCATTTCCCAGTCTTGCAGTGGAATTGCAGGGTTTAAGATTGGAGATTTGAAGGGTTTTGCAGAGTTGATATGCAGGTACATGCACAAACAAACACAGTGGACAAGTGAATCAAGCAGTTCGTGCGTAAGTACGATGTCTAATCCTACCGTTGATGATATAAACCCTTCATTACCTTAAGGACCCTAGACCATGGGAATTATGGTATACTCCTTATTATGGGTCATGCAGGATTTATATCATCAACCGTAGTACCCACTTGCTATACCCAAGCATACATCTGAAGGGCAGAAGTTTCGACCCACTGGACCCTTGCTATCACAAGACTGTTTGCAGAGTAAACGAGTGCGCACAATGTCAAGCTACGTGGCCAAGGATTGCGTACACCGTTCTGAAGTCATGCTACCTCAAGGTTCTGGAGTAACGGAAGCGTGTGTGAGGGGATTCTAGCGGCGGAAAGTGTTGGGCCTCCTTTTCGGTGAAGCCGTGAGTGGCAAACGCAGTACGTACACACACACACACAAAGAGATTGTATATATATATATATGTGTATATGTACATATATATATATATATATATATATATATGGGAATTTCCGAAAATTAGGGGCACCTTACTTTGGGGTCCTTATAATAAGGACCCTGCTCTTTAGGGTACTATACTAGGGTCCACCTAGTTTCGGGAACCCCCATATTATGCGGCATGCGGTACACATAACCCTAAACGCTAAACCCTAAACCGTGTCTAAGTAAGCACAGAGCTGACAACTGTATATAACACCGACTGGAGACTCTACCCTAACTCCCTAGCTGCTGCTCGCGCAACCTTGAATTTAAGGGGTTATTTAGTTTAAGTTACCATATAAGGAAACCATGCTATTTACTATAGATCCCTATGATGGTAACTTAAACTAAAACCCCCTGAACAAGAGCCCAGGAATAAGCGCGGCGGCTCCACTCCACCGAGGACGCGGCCGGCGAGCAGCAGCGGAAAGTTGTTGAAGTGCTCGAAGACATTCACAACTACCTGGCTCGGGGTTGAGGGTTGAAGGTTACTTTGAGGGTCATGGGAAGTTATAACTGGGGTTACAATTAAGATAACTATAACTATAACCTTCTTTAGGGGACTCATAGGCATCCTAAGGGTTTTGGAGGGCTTTTGCATCCTAAATTCCTCTACTGAAGAATATCCTATCGATAGTTGCACTTCTTATTCCCAGATCCTTCAAGGGATCTAAAATAATCACTCTAGTACACATGCTGCCTGCAATTTGTACCACAATGTAGCAGTCGTGGGGAATACACCCCGCGGGGAGTGGTTTCCCAGAGTGCCTCAGAAGAAACGCATGGGCTTGGCGAGCTGTCAGCCCATTTCTGCCTCCAGCTTCGTCTAAGACTCGTCACAAGGCGGACCCCACGAGCCCCACGATTCAGAGCTTCGAAGTTCTGAGTTCCTTTGAAGCTAGATGTCCGGCTAATCGAGGATCAGGAATCCATCGTCTGCCGTGCCGCCATGCATGCCTCGGATAAACCCGCAGACCACTGAGCTTCCCTGTGACCTGGAAGCCAACCAGCTTCGTGTCTCTCGATACGGTTCTTAAAAAGGTGCGACAGGAAAGCGATGCCCTACAAACATGTTACGAACTCCCCAAATGCGACAGCCACAGCTGGCAGACCTGCGAAGGCCCGCTGTCTTTCTGAAATCGAATGCACGCCTACGGCCTATGGTCATCGTGGGGTCTATATTTGAAGAGACATGTAATTAGTAGATAAGGTCATTGGTAAGTTTGCTGCGGTCATGTTATGGGAAATGAAATGCTCGATATCCCCACATACTAGGTCCCATGATTCTTCAAGTGCCCGCTATCAGAAACCCAACGTCGCTTCACGACAGAAGCAAGGCCTTTTGAAATTCCTACGGTTGATGATATAAATCCTGCATTACCCATAATAAGGAATATACCATAATTCCCATAGTTTAGGGTCCTTAAGGTAATGCAGGATTTATATCATCAACCGTATCCCCAGCAGCCGCCCCAAACCTCAAAGCCTAGAGGCCCTGCACCCTTAACTTCTAAACTCGACACCCTAAGCCCTCCTCCTAAAAACCCTGCGCCCGAGTCCCTCTAATATAGGAGCCTAAATAATTACCTATACTATTTTGGGGTTCCATATTATAACCATAATACAATATACCCCAAAACCCTGTTCTGATTCTTAAGGCCCTTATGTCATATAGCACCCTCATAGGTCCCTTATAGTACCCCCTTCAAAGGAATCCTTTAAACATCATTAAGGCCCCTAGATTTTAACGACCCTCCACACCGGCGCCTCGATCACCAAGTACACGATGCAACCGAGCTTGCGGCCCCAGATATCCACATACCTGGGGTCGGGTAGGGTAGGCTAGGCTAGGGTAGGAGGGTAGGGTAGGGTAGGAAGGTAGGGTAGGCTAGGCTAGGGTAGGAGGGTAGGGTAGGGGAGGGGAGCGGCAGGAGAGTCCTGCAATAAAAAGTAGAGCTTCTTTTTTATAAGGGTGCCGTCCTTTTTTATGGGACTTATAATCCCAAAGATAGTATATCCACATACCTCGCAGGGGAGGGTAATGGAGAGGGCTTCAAAAGTAAAGCTTCTTTTTATAAGGTGCCGTGCTATTTTTGGGACTTATAAACCCAAAGCCGGACTCTACTTGAGAGAACTACTCGTGCAGTTTCGGGGTTCAGAACCGTCCATGATGATGCTATCAAGCCCTAAAACCCCCAAACCCTAAGCACCTAAATCTAAACCCGCTGGTTTGGGGAAGTCGATTTAGGGTTTGTCCATGCAGCTCTCCCTTGATCTGCCTCATCCATCTAACTTCCCGATCCGCAGCATAGTTTGGGATGACCTCTAGTATCTTTGCATTGAGTGCTCCTGTCCTTTGTGTCGGCTCCATGACTAGGCGCATGTATACATGTTACGTGCTTCTTCTCTCGGCTCGATGATACAGAAGCGGAGAGAGAGGACCAACTCCTATACAAGCTGATGTTCGGCGTAGTGAATACCGGCTACTGTTTCAAATGTCAAAGGGGTAAAGGGGTCGACTAATCAATAGAGTCACTCCTTTGTTGGGTTCCTTCTTCCGGTTAGTCAGACTATTATAATGTATCACCAAACCCTATGCTGCGCATTATTGTGGCTGCTACGTCAAATTCTTACAATAACACTTTCAGGAAACTTTGTAACCGCACCTTATTTCTGACTATCCAAGCGCCTACATAGGCCCCATCATAGCACCCCCTTGGAAAGACTACGGCCCCAGAACAATACTTATAGAGGGACCTGGGTGCCTTGCAGGGGTGCTTGAACTGCACAGCCATACTTATCATGAGAATAGAGTTCAAAGAGTCTTTAAACTTTAAAGGTCACTATTGGCGTATTGTGACGGCTTAATGTGTGATGAGAGCAGATTTGTATGTTCCTTGTCTAAGTATGCTAAACTCTCAAGGTAGTTGCTCAGGCTTCTGTATTACTGCTTATGGCAGAAAGCTTGCCTTCTGAGGGTCCTGAGAGTTTCAATGTGCCCTACACCCCAAAACCCAACTGAGCTGCACACATGCCAACGATCGTTCCAAAAATAGCCGATGAGGTGAAGCCTGACGCATGGAGGGATCGGGGTTCAGGGGCGTGCGGGCAAGTTGTGAGGTCTGCAATGACTGGATCAGTGCGAGCTTGCCTTTTTCGGCCACTGACGGTGCAGACTTTCAATCCAAAACATGTCAAAGCTGAAAACGAAAAGCCAGAAACGGGCATAGGCTGGCTGCGCTGACAGTGCCGAAAAGGGACACGGTCAAACATCTGCTGGATTTGCAGACCGACGACTGCCAATACCATGGCGTGTTCTTCACGCCGGCTGCTGCTTCCAGGTGCGGCCGGAAGGAACTTCGCGAGCCTCCTTGCAGGTGCAGCATGTATATAAACTGCTGGCTGAAGCATGCCCACCAACACCGACGGCTCTGTCATGCCTGGTGAAGCCCACCTCCTGGATGCACATCTGGAGCTATGAACCACTGCACCCCTCTTGGCAGCCTGGAACTGGTGCAAGGAACGCAGAAGGTCGACGCCAGCACCAAGAAGCAGCACCTGAAACAAGAAAACATGTGAGCCTTCCTGTCTAGAAACACTCTTTCTGTATCTGCACTGCAAAGCAATCCACACCGGTGCTGCGCACACGCGAAGTGCAGAGGCACGGACTGCATAGGCCGACGCAATCATTGGGCGAATCCGGCCCGAAACTGGGACGATGGCTCTGCTTGTGGTCAACGGCCCGGACATGCAGCTCAGATTACAAACGTGTTTTGCACCCTGCCCTGCTGAGAACAAGCTAGATCTCACGGCACACATGCAAGGCGCGCCACTTGCAATGGCAAGATCAACCAGAGAATGCTTGCTTCCCTGCCTGGAAACAAACAGTCGCTGTGACAGTGCATCTCTGAGGTATCCTTGCAACAGAGTCCCTGCATGTCCGCACTGCCAGGACAAGCACGCCGATGCTGTGCTCGGTTGAAGTGAAGAAGGTGCAGAGGGACGGATTGCACGGGGAGGAGAAGTAGGGCATATTCCGACTGAGACTAGGAGGATGGCTCTGCTTGTGCTCAGCAGCCCTGGCACGCAGCTCGCAACACGGAGGTGTTTTGCACCGTACCTTGCTGAGAGAAAGCTAGACCTCACAGCACAAGTGCAAGGCACGCCACTGGCAATGGCAAGGTCCTCTAGAGAATGCCTGCTTTCTTGACCACAAACAACTAGATGCTGCGACCGCACGTGTCTGAGGTATCCTTGCAACGGAATCTCTACATATCTGCACTGCAAGGAAATGCACGCTAAGCACACCGGTGCTGCGCCTGGTCGAAGTGAAGAAGCTGCAGAGATATGCGGCGCATAGGCCGAAGCACTTGTTGAGCGAATCCAGCCCGAAACTAGGACGACGGCTCTGCTGGTGGTAAGCATCCCAGCCCTGCAGCTCGCATCACGATCGTGATTTGCAGATGACGCGGCTGCAATAAAGCTAGACCCCACAGGACAACCGCAGAACATGGCAAGGTCCAAGAAAACATGCATCTTCTTTAAAACATGAGAAGGATGGCAAGACCGCGCACTGCTGACGTGTCCGTGTAACAAACTCTCTCCGTATTTGCACTGCAAGGAAGAGCACACCGATGCTATGCTCGGTCGAAGTGAAGAATGTGCAGATGGACACATTGCATGGGCAGAAATGATAGGTGGGCGAATCCAGCCCGAAACTTGGACGATGGCTCTGCTTGTGCTCAGCAGCCCTGGCACGCAGCTCGCAACACGGAGGTGTTTTGCACCGTATCTTGCTGAGAGAAAGCTAGACCTCACAGCGCAGGTGCAATGCACGCCACTGGCAATGGCAAGGTCCTCTAGAGAATGCCTGCTTTCTTGACCACAAACAACTAGATGCTGCGACCGCACGTGTCTGAGGTATCCTTGCAACGGAATCTCTACATATCTGCACTGCAAGGAAATGCACGCTAAGCACACCGGTGCTGCGCCTGGTCGAAGTGAAGAAGCTGCAGAGATATGCGGCGCATAGGCCGAAGCAGTTGTTGAGCGAATCCAGCCCGAAACTAGGACGACGGCTCTGCTGGTGGTAAGCAGCCCAGCCCTGCAGCTCGCATCACGATCGTGATTTGCAGATGACGCGGCTGCAATAAAGCTAGACCCCACAGGACAACCGCAGAACATGGCAAGGTCCAAGAAAACATGCATCTTCTTTAAAACATGAGAAGGATGGCAAGACCGCGCACTGCTGACGTGTCCGTGTAACAAACTCTCTCCGTATTTGCACTGCAAGGAAGAGCACACCGATGCTATGCTCGGTCGAAGTGGAGAACGTGCAGATTGACAGATTGCATGGGCAGAAGAGATGGGTGGACGAATCCAGGCCGAAACTTGGACGATGGCTCTGCTCGCTTGGTGCATTTCACTGCGGTTCAATAGACAGACCTGCTTCGCAGCGGTCCCGGCTGCACAGAAGGTAACCCTCACTTGCTTTGATAGGACTTCCGACGGTGCAATACTCAGCGGTATCAGAAGCTCTGCATGTACACTGGCAGTGCCACTGCCAACTCCTTCCTGCGTATGTCTGTGCGGCACTCTTGTCTTCGTCTGAGCGATCTGAGCGATGGTGCTGGGACCTAGGTTCAGCTTCCCAAGCACGAGCTGAGCAACGAGCTCAGCACGAGATCTCCAGTTTGGCAAGGTCATCACGGAAAGCTCTGCATGCGCTTCCACCATTGCACACAACGTGTAACCCAGCTTTAACTGACTTAACACTTGAGTCCAAAAAGGACCCGAAGGTCTTTCAACATATTAAAGGTGTCCTGAACACACCTATGCCACGGACTACCGAGGCCTTTACACGACTGATCGTTCTGCACTTCCGTTCCACGCTCCCTGACCTACGGCTACCCTACCTTTTTTGACAGACAAACGGCTGGATGCAATGGGGCCCGACAAGATGTAGTGTTCCCAGAATCTGATCACCGCGCAGGCTCTACTGCTGCAGCAATTGTGACAACGGCTACCGAACACAAACCCGTCTATCCAAAGCACGCAAATACGTGAACGGCGATAGCTTGCCTTTCTACTACAACCATAGAGAGCTTTTGATATATCACGTTGTACCTTGCTGAAATTGCGAATCATCCGGAGCATTCAAAAACATGGCGACAGCTTGTGTCTCTACTACAAGCATAGAGAACTGTTGGTCTGCCATGCTATGCCTTGCTGAAATTACTGATCACAGTAGTTAACATCGTATCGGCATCGGTGATCCTGGCCTGTCACGAACAAGGTGCTGATGTCCACGTCGTAGCTCTGGTAGAGTGTGTACATGTTCGTCCCCTCGCAGCAGCAATACCGCGAAGCTTAGTCACATGCTACGAAGCAAGGAGAGTGAGTATTCGCAAATGACAACTATAGGGGCCTTGGTAATTATTTAGGCCCCTATAGTACTAACAAAATGGCACATGACTTCGCATGCTAACTTTCATGGCACGGTCCACCTTCCGGATCGCTTCCACTTTCCTTCTGACATGACCTGCCCTACAACCCCGGCCCTGGCTTAAGGCGTAATACGGTGGATGGACAAAATCCTGCATTACCCTAAGTATGGTATGGTACCATAACTCCCATACTTTAGGTATATAGGGCCATGCAGGATCTTGTCTATCAGCAGTATCATGCTCGAGCTCTTCGTATTCATCTTGCCTGTACGGTTCCTGTAAAAATCACTCTGTAACCTACCCCCACAGCCTGTCCCAAATATTCCATGCACCAAACAGTAAAAATCCACCCCTAGTACCTTGGCAATTAGAATAGGGCTTTGGGAGCTCCTTCTTATAATCATAACAGCACCAACACCCCATTCTAATGATTAAGGCCCTACATCATAGTACCCCAATAGGGTTCTTATAGTAACCTTTATAGGCCCCTTTGAAGGCACCCTAGGCCCTATTCTAGTTATTCAGGCCCCTACAGTAGTTGTGAGAGTAGGTCTAACATCAAAGAGATCATCATCTGGGTGGTTGTCAAAATTATGGTCCCTTTTGGGGTCCCTATTATAGTACGGCACCCATTATTTAGGGTACCCAAAAAGGAGCCCCAATTTTGACAACCAGCCATCTGGAGCCTTGCAGTGTACCAGGCTTCGCGGGTATGCAGCGAAGCAAAAGAAGTAACGTGGGGGCCTTAATAATTGGAATAGATTTTGGCGTTCCGCAAGATATTTATAACACCCAAACCCTACTCTAATTATTAAGGCCCCCCCCCCAGAGTATTTCAGCAGTTGGGCTTCTAAGCCCTCATACCCTGGCGAGAAAACGCCATATTATGACTGCGAGGCTCAGCGTTACCATTACGAACGGTCTACTGCGGGGTCTGACCAATTAAAATCGGGTTTGGGGCGTATATCGTACTCTAGTTCTATACAAAAAGTAGGGAGTAGTACTACCAATTTTTCAGGCTTCTATAACTCTATATTGTTTCATCTACTTCCCAAGCCTTTTGAGCCAGGGTCACTGTAATTACCTAAACGACCTGAGCTGAATCCCCAAATCCAAAACCCAAACACACTGGCCTGCATAATTGGCAGCACTACTACTAAACCTAAGAGTAACCTAGGAATAAACAGCGTGCCCTTTTTGATTTAGAGCTGAAAAAGGGAATGAGGGCCTACTCTGGGTCCTAAACTACTCTACACTCAAGGATCCCAAGCATCATTGTACTTCAGATTCTGCAGGTCCGGGCTTAGGGTTCTACGGTCTCCTTTTAGGGCTTTACTGGTTCAGGGTCTAGGATTTTCGCTCTTAGCGTGCTATACATGCCCCAAGAGGTTTTAGAACACGCCCAAAAGTAGGGTATGAGACCATGACCACGTAGGTGCTGAGACCGACTCAGTCCCTAAGACCATATTTAGAGCCTTGACATGGGAGTTTCTCCGAAAATAGGGGACCCTACTTGGAGGCCCTCTTGACTTAGTAAGTCTACTTAGTATCCCCTAGAAACCCTATTATAATCCCCATAACCCACCTTACTAACCCTACATACTAAGTCAAAAGGGCCTCCAAGTAATATAGTACCTTAAATAGTAGTATCCTTGTTTATAAGGACCCCTAGAATAAGGTACCCCTATTTTCGGAAACTCCCACATAGATCCAGCGGCGGCGCCTGAAGCCAGTCTGCACCCATGATGATGGTGTAAACTGTCAGGTACCTGGTGCCCAGAACTTCGGAATCTTGAAATTCAGGGATACTGTGCCAGCTAAGTTCGGTTCGGTAGACTCAATACTTTGGGACCTACAACTATGACATGTTGTCTGGCAACACAGCAACTAGGGGTCTGGTCCTGATATACACAGAAGCCCTAAACCCAAACCACAGAAAGCAGACTCGCAAAACTCAAATCGCAGAAACACCCAAACCCTTCAACGCTTAAGCCCTAAACAAGACTCTAATTTAAACAAAGCGCAGACGGGAGTATAATCACTGGTTATTCCGACCCCTAAACTTCCCCAAGCCCTTAACGACAGTATGTCTTGGCTCCCCGGCTGGCGCTGGAAAGCGCGGAACTCGGCCAAGCGCGCGCCGCTTGGCTGCTCGTCGCTAGTCTGGCTGGGGCTCAGGACCACGGCTTTAGGGATTTAAGGTTTTGGGGGTTTATGGTTGGGTGTTTAGGGGGTTAAGGCTTTAAAGGTTTAGGGCTTCGGGCTTTGAGGTTTTGAGGGTTTAGGGCTTGGGGTTGAGGGTGTAGGGATCAGTGTCGAGGTTCTTTCAGTGTTTCCTATAAGGGGATCTACAAGGATTTTGCAAAGGGTTGTGCAAAAGGCTTAGCGTTCCGCGCTTATGGAATTTGGATTTCAGGGTGCAGGGTTCAAGGGTTTAGGGCCAGAGTTCAAGAATCAATTTCAGGATTAATTTCTGGTCCTCACATATTAACGTTGCAGCTATATTTTACCGTTCTAATATGATGGCACCACTGTACATCAAAGCTACCAGGGGCTGATTGCCCTCGCCCAAAAACGGTTAGCCGTTTCAAGTTTGGTAGGATTATATAAACTCCAATAGGTGAAAGGTTACCTACTTACCTACTAAGTTAGGATGATTGTGCGGTCCGCAAGGTTGCGTATCAGCCATTGGAGCACGGCCCATGCCGCATGTCGTAAAACGAGCACTTTGTGCCGAAAAGCCCTCTTGAACTCTGTGGAAGCAAAACATCAGATTGAAAGCAAACCAACGCCTAAGGAATAGGTGTACTTAGAGGTTCAGGGGACTTAAGTAAGCAGGGCGTTGAGTGCCACGATTGGGGTCATAACTCAGCATGACTACAGCTAGCTTACATAATGCCCCTGACGGCTCCTTACTGGAAATTAAACACGAAACCCCTCACAACCCTATTCTGATAAGAAGGAAACCCTTATAGAAACCCTTGCAGGCCCGGTACAGAAGAACCCGAAAGCAACCTAACTTGTACTACGGTTGATGATATAAATCCTGCATCACCCATCATAGGGAGTATACCACAATTCCCATAGTCTAGGGACCTTAAGGTAATGCAGGATTTATATCATCAACAGTATTAATGCCAGTTGCAAGCATTCCTTCAATCGGAAGGGTACCCGTTTTCCTAGTATTCTTTGGTTTTACTACGGGAACCATTCCTTCAATCGGAAGGGTACCCGTTTTCCTAGTATTCTTTGGTTTTACTACGGGAACCCACAAAGAAAAAGGACAAAAGGTACGACTGGGGAACCTAGATATTACCAAATTGTGTGTAACATGGCAGAGCTCTTGACTCATTTGCGACGGCGATAACCATAAGTGCCCAGACCAAGTACTATTCATGCCCCTTCCAACAGTCCCCCGGCCTTGCGGTATAGAGCTATTAGTATCATAGCGTCCCTTTTAGGGTACGTATAACTCTGTACAATAACCACTTTCTAAGTGCCCCGACCCTCTCAACCGTCCCCTCCCGGGGCCTTGCTGCCATTTCCTTTGCCCTCCTCTGCACTTTTGGAAAGCCGGCGCTCCGCAAGGGCCACGGTGGAGGTGATGCCAGCCTTGAAATGGGGGCCTTTATAGCTAGAATAGTATCTTGGGGTATACTATATAGTATCTTTAAGGTGTTCTATAAGGGACTCTATGTTGAGGTCATCTTAATCCAATAAGAACAGGATTCTGAGGGCTGGTATCACAACTCCAAAAAGGAGCGCAAATGCATCGTGTCGGTAACTACTCACACTTCTAGATTAGGGCTCTTACGGTTTTAAAGGGTTCCTATATCTGTAGGATTCTAGAGCTTTGCAGGGTTTTTTCAAACAAGGTGGTGCAAGGGTTCGACAAAGGCAATGCCACTCCGAACGGATGCAGAGGGGTTTGTCGCTAGCCGACCCGGCTGCGAACTCCCTTCGGGTCGCAGCTTGAACTCTGTCGATGCCCCCTTCGAGCTCCTGCATCGTTTTGGCGCATGCTGCAACCAAAATGGCCAGGTTCTGCGCCTTGGATTGGCGGGTGCAGCCGTCCAAAGCTTTGGTAGCGGTGGCCTGGGTGAAAGGCTCGACGCTTCGTTTCGCAAAGAATCCACAAGGCGGATAATTCCCTTTCTGGGCTTGCGGCCTGGTGAGGCCTTCCCTGAGGATGCTATAGGCACCGTTCCGCCCGGTGCCGTGACAAGCTGTCACCTGTGGTCGTGCACCTCGTCCGGAAGCTGCATCTCGGACATGTATAAGACACGTCGGTTTAGGGTTTAGGGTTAATAGCCAACTCAAGTTTAACAAAGTTTTCCAAGGGATCTTATTTCGGCTTTCAAGGGTTTGGGGGGTTTAGGGTTTCGGGGTCTCAAGGGATTCTGTTGGGGATCCCTTCACCCGAGTATAGAGGTCAGACTAGGATTCTCTGCATGCACTATGTTCAAGAAACCCCGAGGAATAGGAATAGTGATACGAGTTGTTCAGCCTCTACTTTACCTACTTGTCGGGTATCGTGGGGAACTAAAGGTTAACCTTCTTGGTTATATAAGGATTATATAGGGACTATACTACAGACCCCTAAATCCGGTGATTATCCAGGGCCTTTGACGTATAAAGAGACAGTAGCTTAGTTGCCCAGTTCATAAGCCCCAAAAGTGTACACTTTTGGTTTTATAGTGGGTAATATTATCCCCAAAAGTGTAAGTGTATCCACTCAGCTACTTACTAAGGTATTACGAACCAGCTATTCTCACCTCCTATTGATTGAAAGCCCCCGATTCTTGGATTCCCTACACCCTAAACCCCAAAGCCCCCGATAATGGGATTCAAAAGCCGCAGAAGCCGAGAGCCGTCCGCAGCTCAATGCTGAGATGCCCCTGAAACCCTTAACCCTAAGTCCTAAACTGTAAATCCCAAACCAACAAACCTGCTCTACTCCGTAGCCCAATGCCCCTAAACCCTAAACCCCAAGTCCTAAACCCCAAACCGTAAACCCCAAACCCTAAACCCCACACCCAAAACCCTATAGTATAATATATCAAAACCCACTCAAATTTCCGAAGTCCGACTCTCCCCCCTGAACCTGTTTTACTCCGCGGCTGAAGGCTGAGCTGCGCGCCAGAACGAGAAAGGTCCGGCTGGCCCAAGCCTCAGAGAAAGGGCTCCCTTTAGGGTTTCTGTTTTGGGTTCCTTGTTGGCGTTCCTTTCAGGGTTCCTTTTTGGGCTCCGTTGAGGGTCTAGGGTGGTTGGGTTTAGGGCTCCTTTTTTCGGGTCCCTTTTGTGGTTCTTTTTGGGGGTTCATTTTAAAATTCCTTTCAGGGTTCCTTACTGGAAGGTTCATGGGTAGTTTTTAGTCGGGCTTACCCGAATGTAGGCTGCAACTGTAGTCATCCTAGTTCTGAACCCTACTTGTAACAACCCATGAACCTCCAAGTCGGGCTCATATAGCCTACCTTAGCCTACCAAACCCTACTTTTTTGTAGGTTCTTATTATGACCCCTAATATGGAGTTTATAGGGACCCTACAAGAAAGTAGGGTTTGGTAGGTTGAGGTAGACCATAGGGCTTTGTGCTGACAGCCTGAATGAGGTTTTGAGGGTCCGGGTCGCGGAATCTAGCGATTAGGTTCAGGGCTCGGAGTCTGCGAGCTCAGGGTCAGAAAGCGCAAGGACACAGATACAACCTTAGATGCGTATGCAACGCATGCATCCATGTATATGTATATGCATATGTATATGTAGATATATATGTAAGCGTGCATATACAGATACAGTTCTGAGATGTTTACAGGCCATTCCTGGTGCCATCTAGCTTGGGGCTTAGGTGCCTGCTTTGCGGATTTGGCCGCCGGGCCTTGGATCGTAGTATCAAAGGGGAAAAGGAGGGACCCAATGGGGACCCCTACCCTATAATGGGCTATAGAATGGGTATATCATGGCTATATTATGGGTATATACCTAGGGGTCCTTATTAGGGGTCCCTCCTTTTACCCTTTGATAGTAGATCTAGGAGCCTGAATAATTCGAAGAGGGTAGTCGTGCGGTAGTTCTACTGTGCGGAAGTTGTTCGGAACCCCAAAGAAGCATGTTTGGCAGATTTAAGCCTGTATATGACAAGATTCGGGTAGATTAAGTTTGCTGGTCAAACACATCCTGCAAGGGCCGAGTCTGACGTCGCGAACTCCCCTGAAATCCGAATTGGCACTTGCGAAGCCCAACCCCATAACCTCAAACCCTGAAACCCTGAAGAACTTTTCGACACTCTACAGAACTTTTGGTCCTGCGTTACAACACCTCTCTAATATTAGTGAAAATCATTATGGCACCCCCCTAAACCTACACCCCAACCTAAACCTAAACCCGAAACCCTAAACCCTAAAACCCTAATCCCAAGCCCTAAACCCTAAAGCCTAAACCTGAGCACTGAAGCCTTAAAGGAACCCTTGAAGGACCCCTTAAAGGAGTCCCTGAACCCTAAACCCCTAAAGCCCTAAAGCTCGCAGCAATGCTTGGGCCGCCCTGCCGGCCAGTCAGGCAGCTGAAAGCTCATGACGGCCTGTCTGGGAGTTTTTTCCGCAACCTTTAGGGGATCCATAAGGGTACCGTTAAAGGGATCCATAAAATTTCCTTTAAAAGGATAGGGTTCCTTTAAAGGGATTTATAAGGGTTCCATAAAGGGGTTTAGCGGTCAGGGTTTCCGAAAATTGGGGGATACCCCATGTTGGGGTCCTTGTAAAAAGGCTCCCACTAGTTAGGGCAGTCTGTCAGGGCCCCCTATTTTCGGAAACTCCTGTCTGAGTCTCAAATCGGTCGTCGTCTGATGGGTTCACAGGCATGGAGTTTTGGGTTTCTGGAAGGGGGCGGAGGCTGTTCTGCATTTTGGTTTTTGTACGGTCCTTGCCTCCAAGAAGTTCAGGTACGCAAGGTTTGTATGTTCTATAGCATTTGACGCCCCCTCCTCCAGCCTCTAAACCCTAAACCCTAAACCCTAAATCCTCAACCGCTGGCCTGCAAAGTTTTCGCAGGCGCCCAAAATTGCTCAGCAAACGCTGAGAGCCGAAAGCCGAGAGCGAGTGCAGCTGTAGGGCTTTTGTATGCCCCGAAACCCTGAGCCCGAACCCAGAAAACCGTAGGGCTGTAGGGTTTTGGTATGGGGCTTTGGGATTCGGGATCGGGGTTTTGGGCTTAGGTTCCAAAATCCCTTAAGCTACAATAGAGTCCATGAATGGGAACCGTCATTCAAGGACATCGGAATCTGTTGGCAGATTGCCACGAGTCACAAGTCCTGTTAGGGTATCTCGAACCTTGAACGGCAAAACCGCAGCTCCTGAGAGCCGAACCAAAACCCTGCACTCTATATCCTAAACCCCCAGACCCTGCACCCTTTACCCTAAAAGCCCAGACCCTGAACCCTCTACCCTAAACCCCAGACCCTAAACCCTCTACCCTGAACCTTGGCCATGCGCATAAAACCCGCCCAGGGCTAAGGGATTTAGGCTCATTTTTAAGCTTAGTGTAGTTGGCACTGGGTTCGGGTTGAGGCCAACCAAACCATAGGCATCTAAGCACCACACTACACTGCACCACCCAAGTAATCGCGCCAGTACCTGCACTCACCATTTTTTAATTTGCAGAAAAACCTCTACAAAAGCCTACAACACTATAAAGGCCCTCGTAAAGGCCTTGTTAAGACCTACAAAGCCCCGTGTAAGGCAATGGCCTCCGCGCCTAGTACTGCCCCTTCCCTAAATCCTGACTCCCCAGAGAGCCCAATACCCCTTAATTAAGGAATACAGCTTAAATCATTTTTTGAAGCCCTATATAATTTAAGCCATATTCCTTGATTAAGGGGTATTGGGCTCTCTGCGTCCTTTTTGGACTCTGGCACGCCGAAAAAAGTCCTCGCGGAGAACTGCCACCCTCCGAGCTTTCAGCAGCCTGGAAGAAAGGTGGATCTTCCAAGCGTTCGGGCTCTTAGGCTTTGGAGGTTTTCTTCGGGCTATCGATATTTAGTGTAGGATCTTCAGTTCCTGGGTTCTGCGGGGGTAAAGGCAATTTACCGTATTGAGCTCTCATGTTTCCACTGTTCCGCATGGGACCTAGCAGGTTCAGGTTCGCACTAGAGTTGGAGTTTTTACAGGTTTTCACGGCCCAGGGCCAATTCGAGGGTTGGACGTGGAAGTTGAGGCAGCGTTCCCGGACAGTTCTTGCATTCCAACTCCCATGCGACTGAGTTTCGGAGCCCCTACCAGTACAACAGACAAAAGAACAGTTTGCATGACAGAGACGTAAAGACCACGCCTCGACGCCCCGGGTCACAATCTCCAGCTAAGACCTAAAAGCACCTGTAAGTCCTTCTGCCAGCTAGTCACTTACTTGTAACATGGTTGAAGAAGACTCATTGCAGCTATTACGCATCCATGGTTGCGGGCCAGTATTAAAAATGCATTTTGTCTTCTTGGCTTAAGTACCCATTTAAATGCAAAATGCTCCGCAAAACTATGACAAAGATTAATGTAGGGGCCTTAATAATTACCTATACTATTTTGGGGGCTCCTAATTATACTTATAGGTATAATGGACTTAAAGCCCCAGTCAAATTATGAAGGCCCCTATATCATAGTACCCTTATAGATCCCTTATAGTAACCCCTAAAGGTCCCCTTTAAAACGGAACCCTATTCTGATGATATTATAGCACCGATCATGAGCACCCTTGTGGACAAGTGTACAGAGCCCATGTCGAAACTTCGCTGAGTGAACTTGCCGAGCCCCCAGCCAGACCCGAAACTCCTGCAGATCCCTTAGCCCTAACATCACCCTTATAAATTATAAATCCCGCACTATAACACGCTGTAAAACCGTCTCCACTTAACTACAAGGCCCGACTCGAAACTCCTCAAGCAAGCACGAGAGTAGCCCTCCCAATAACCTGTCACTACAACCCCAAAAACCTGAACCCGGAACCTCAAAGAATCCACCTTTGTCTCAGCACCCACTTGGAGGTTCATGTCTTGTTATAAGCAGTGTCATAAGTAGGATAGATAAGTATGAATATAGCCCAAGTGGACTTATAAACCCACTGTATCTACCCACCAGCCAGGCCAGCCTTCGCCCTTGCAGAACCCTTTAAAGAAACCCTTCAACAGCTTGTGCTCTAAACGAATGTATCGCTCAAGGTCCCCCTGGGACCCCCAAAAACACAGCCTAAAAACCATCCAAGCCGCTTAAAAACGCTGAACCCCCCCATAAATCCTAAATCCCCAAAACGCCAGCCTTCGCCTTCCCTTTAAACCGCTTAAGCCCCCTAAACCCCTTAAAATTACACCTAAAACCCCCTAAACCCGAAATCCCGAAAAAAGCCCAGCCTTCGCCTTCGTCTCTTCACTCCAGGGCCTCCTTGATGTACGCAGCCGCGAGGGTTGAGAAGATCAGTGCCTGCGGAAAAGGGTTTTTTTTTTTGGGGATTCTAGGTTTTTGGAAACCTTTTTATAGAGAGGTTTCTGAGTTTAACAAGCTTGATAGCAGGAGCTTTGTCGGCTTTTGCGGGGCTTTCTAGAGAGGGTTTAGGGGTTCCTAAATTCAGGTCTTCAGGGGTTCCTAAATTCAGGTCTTCAGGTCTTTATAAGCTTGAAACGGACCTTGTAGGTTTTTATAGGCTTCACAGGTGCTTCGCAAGCCTTTACAGGCTTCAAAAAGCCTTGGCAAGGCTTCTTTTGGCTTTATACGGGGTTTGAAGGTTTTCTTCATGGGCTATATATGTATGTATATATATATATACATACATGTATATACATAGACGTATATATAATATACACAGGCCTTGGAAGAGCTTCATAAGATTGTTTAAAGGTTTTGTATTCTAGGAAACAAGGCCGCTATAGCGTAAACGAAGGGCTTTAGGGGCTTGCTTGAAGGGGTCTAGGAGGCTTTCTAGAAGAGAGGGCTTTAGGGGTTTTGGGAGTTAGGGTTTAGGGTTTAGGGTTTAGGGGTTTTGGGAGTTAGGGCTTGGGGTGTAAGGCTGTAAAGTTTTACGGCTCAGGGAAGAGACGCAACGGCCCTCGTGCCGAGATTCCAGAACCTACAATTGAGACACCAAAAACCAAGGACCCACGGGAACAACACCCTGCAAAGCCCACCCGGTGTAAGCCGTATAATTAAACCCGATCGACCCCTGTACAAATGCCTATCTGGGACCTGGATCAAGCCGGGAAAGAGGTAAATCCCTAATCCTTCGCGACCTTAAAGCCCTGAGCCCTAAACCCTACATATGCATCCCTAAACCCCTGAGCTCTAACTCCAAGTCCCTAAACCCTAAACCCTGTACCCCTAAACCCCTAGACCCTAAACCCCCAAAACCCTTAACCCCTAAACCCCTGAGCTCTAAACCTCACCTGGATCGAGCCAGCGAAGAGACCCAGGCCCATGATCGGCAGCGGGATGATGAAGGGCACCAGGAAGCAAAGCACCTCGGGAGGGTTTAGGGTTTAGATGAGGGTTTTATACAGGTTTTAAGCTTTTGGTGTTGGTTGTATAAGCCGAGAAAGGTATAAGTCCCTTCTGAAGCCCTGATTCGGCTTCGTTCTGTTGGGTAAACTTCAGCTTGGGTTGTAAAGCTTTCAATCCAAAGTTGCTGCCAAGACCTCAACCCCAATATCAAAAAACCCCAAACCCTCAACTCCAAAGCTTGCACCCCCCCCCCCCCCACCCCGCCTACGTTGTTCTTAACATGGTTGCCTGGAGGTTCATCTGTAGCTGTAAGTAGCGGTTCCCGAACTATCAGGTGCGGTTTTTGAGTGCAGGACTCCATGAAAAGCCTGCGAAATCCGGAGCCTCACTGCGCTGTAGGAACCCCTAAAACAACGTCATTTATCCAGGCTTCCACATTCAGCCCTGATGAGCCCTTTTCACTCCGAAAGCCTCGAAGCTCGCACAACCTTTTCAACCCCATGAAGAACCCTTCTGTGATAATAACAAATGTATTATATTGTATTTTCTTTATATATTTTTACTATATGGTACTATACTATTGAGAGGTCTCGGAATCTTTGGGAACTCCGTTGAGGGCCGTGCTCCCACGGTCAGCTCATCCGCGACGACGTTTCCGAAAAGTCGGAAGCTCAGGGACAGCCTCAGCAATCCCTAAGGGAGTGCTTGGCACAGGCTGCTTATGATGACTTTATAGGGTTGGTCTTTGAAAATCGGCTCTTGTTGTGGTGGCTTTTGATGATTGTATAGGGTTGTATAGAGTTTTGGATCTATGAAGACGGATTTCAAAAGGCCACTGCGAGTACCACTGTTAGTGTACGGCTACCGTACTCTTCCTCCTGCTCCTCCTCTTGCTGCTGCTGCAGCTTCTAATGCCTTTTACAAGACATCATGACACCCTTGCCCACACTTGGAGGTTCATGGGTAGTGATAAGCGAGGTTATAGGTCCCCGAATATAGGTTACAACAATATGTCTCCCACTTATAGCCCTGCTTGAAAGTACCCATGAAACTCCAAGTAGAGGCCACCCTTACGGATCCCTTAATGGAACCTGAAAAACCCAAAGTGGAATCTCCAAGCAGCAACATAGGTTAGAATAGGGTTTTGGGGCCCATTATATTATGATGATAACAAGAACCCCCCCCCCCCAAAAAAAAAAAAAAAAAAAAAAAAAAAACAAAAAAAACACAAAAGTATAGGTAATTATTGAGGCCCCTATTGTAGCATTCATCGCCAACTGGGCCAAGAGGCGGCTTGGTGAAGTCCTCGAGGATGTTGATGGGCCTCAGCAAGTTTCGGTTAAGGGCTCAAGGGGTTAGGGCTTCGGGGTTTAGAGTTCAGGGTCTTTAAGGCTTGGGGTTTAAGGTTCAGGGTTTAGGTCCTTTAGGGCTCAAGGGTTTAAAGGGAACTCCAGAAAGTCGGAATATGGTTTCAGGGTAGGATACCTTATAATTTACCATAGAAGGCTTTAGGATAATCACCTAAACCCTAAATCCTAATATTCCAACTTTCTGGCTTTTACCGTCGGGTTTCGGGGTTTAGGGTTCAGGGCCTTTTTGGCTTTTGGGGCTTCAGGTTCAGGGCGTAGGTCCCTTAGGGCTTGGGGGTTTAGGGTTCCGGGTTTAGGGCTTGGGGGTTGAGGGTTCCGGGTTTAGGCTTTGGGGTTGAGGCTTTAAGGGTTTAAGTTTGAAATTCAGGGCTTTCTCCAAAGGCGCCCGACAAAGACAGGACCAGAAGGAAGGTCATCCTGAGGGCCTGAATGCCCTAAGCGCAAACCTAATGCAGGATTTTGTCCATCAGCAGTATGTTTAACCCTAAACCTTAGAAGCTGCCCCCACCCTGTAATAGTGACTATAAGAATTATATCAGGCCCTATTATATTCCTATTAGACCACAATGACAGGGTGGGGGCCCCTACTAGCCTAAACCCCTAAACCCTAAACGCGAAACCCGGTGCTTTCTCAGTTCTTCGGGGTTTAGGGTTTAGGGTTAGAAGCTGCCCCCACCCTGGAATAGTGACTATAAGGACTATATTAAGGCCCTATTATATTCCTATTATACCACTATTACTGGGCTCTAACCCAAACCCCTAAACCCGAAACCCGGTGCTTTCTCAGTTCTTCGGGGTTTAGATTTTAAGGTTTCGTGCCACCATGTACCAACTTGCTCATCTTACTACTATCTTCGAAACCCAACCATCGAGTATTTTGGATACATTGGATCCTGAACGCCCCCTCAAAGCTTAAGCCAAAACCCAACACCCTAACGCCAGCCGGCCTTTCCTCTTCGGATTGGGCTCGGCTGAGCTTCTCGCACATCCAGTCCCGCAGTTGGCCTACTATAAACTATACTGAACTTAGAACCCTAGCAAAATTATAATTTTAGCTGTTTCTTAGGGATGATAATAACCAACATTAAAAACATTTCTAAGTACCCCTAAAGTAAAGGCCTTGATAGTGGGTCTATTCCAATACAATGTAATGAAGAATTCTCAGGAATATTACTTAGTATGTGACAGTAGATTATAGTGAAGCTGTGCCGATGGCAGCGGCGGATCCAAGGAAAGTTAGTAGGCCAATATCCAAGCCCCCTTAGACACCCCGTCCAGGTCTAACATTGTGGTTGGCTATGGTAGCAGCATGAACTTCCCTGTGCTAGGAAGGGATGTAGACAAACAAGGGAGAGAAACCAGATAAGACGAGGTGGATGCTGCCACACTTAGAGCGCCAGTGAACTTCGTAAGTAAGGTGTATGGATAGCTGTAGCTACAGTGGCCTTACTTACTACTCCGCTTGTTGAGTCCCCTGATCCAAAAGACACCCCGAGTATTAGCCCCCCTAAACCCTGAAAACTGCCTGTACAGAGCCCATAAGGAACCCTTGTAAAACGACCCTTTACAGGAGCAGGAGTCCTTCCCGGAACCCCTTCAGAACAAATCTTTCAAGGCGCTCTTAAAGGAACCGCCTTCGAAAGGAACCCTGAAAGGGAGCCAAGTGGCAGCAGGATGGGTGTCGGCTTCACGTAGCGGGCGAAGTAGCCGAGACCCTTCTTGGCCAGGCCACCTTTTGGGGCTCTTGCGGCCTTGAGGTTGGGTTTAAGGCGTACGGCCTAGGGATTAGGGTTCAGCTAAGTTCTTTTTTAAACTTCCCCTTTTTGGGTCTCTTGGGGCCCAGGGCGGTTCTCGTACTCTAAGGCTTCGGTGTAGGGCTGCTCGAGTCTGGGGTTTGGAGTGTTGAGAAAAGTGTCGTGGCCTGGGTTTGTCTTGTTAAAGGGCGGCCGCGGAGTACGGGAAGTCTTGTGCGACTTGACCTTTCTTATCGAATACTTTTGTTGGGACAGATCGGTGCTTACTCCCCCAATCAGCCATAGAAATAAAAGGTCTAACTTTCCGATTCCTACTAAACCATAAGAGCCCAACAAGTTTAAAGGTTGGGTATTGGGGATGTAAGGCTTTCAAGACGGCATGACAGTGGAGGCAGCTGCAAAGCAAGGCTCCAGAGCGATACAGACAGTGGCTTGGGGAAGTAGCATGACAGGCGCACGGAATGGCTCCAAACTGTGACAGTTTAGCAGCTCAGGGTTTACGAGGAGTTGCGCAACAATCAAGGCGTCAAGCTTTTATTCCACAAGGCTGAAGCACCGCATCGACAATCCCGCCGCCGCCTCCAAAGTAGGCCAGGGAGGTGAGCAGGGAGAGGGCCACGGTGGTGTTGATGTTGTTGGTCGGGGCCGCCAACTCACCTGCCGGGATCTCGAAGAGCTTCCAAGGGATCAGGGCACCGGACCAGTTGCTCACAAAGATGAAGAGGAAGATGGTCGTCACAAAGGGCACCCAGGGCCTGTAGAAAGACTCTCCCAAGTTGTTCTTGGCGATGTCGGTGGTGAAGCCAAGGGCCATTTCCTGGAAGTTTCTGGCGCCGGTGGGAGCACCGAATTCGCTGACGGGCGCCTTGGCATGGCGTGCCACCTGCGCGCAGACGCTGACCATGCTGCGGGCCGTGAAGAGCCCAGCCGTGAGCAGCGTGGACCCCGAGAACGCACCCGGCACCGCCGCTGCCGTGGCCGCTGGGGCCACCAGCGACGCGGGGCTCTGCTCGCCAGCCGCAGCGGACAGGGGCCTGACAGCGCCGCGGAGCTCCTCCGTGCGCAGCTCGGCACCAGTGCCTCGTGGGGCGACGAAGCCGCGGGCCGCATGGAGAGCCAGGCAAAGTCCGGCGGCTGCGGCCGCGCCGCGCAAGAATGCCGATCGAGTGCGCGTCATGCTTCTTTTGCAGCTTAAGGCTGCTAATTAGTTAATCGAGTACCTCCTGCGCCCTGAAACGGCCGAGAGCAGCAAGTTGGATCTTCACATACCTGCTCACTTCAGGCTGCCATGAATGGAGCAAACAGCAGTGCCAAGCGTGCAGAATCGAAACCACGCCGCAGGCTTTTCTCCCTCTGCCAGGGCTCCGCAGAATTCGATAGGACACAACTATTTATTTAGAGAAACTACAGCAGATCTACATCCCAATAGTGTGCTAGGAAAACATAGCATGACTGCTTTCTTTGTTTGATCTTTGTTATTTCCACACTCACTGGAAAAACTCACTTCTCTTGTCCTCCGCCGAAGGGGCTTCACTTCAAATCGAATTTGGCTTGTCTTGATCCCTGGCCCCTTATTGCAAACCTTTGGTGCTCTTCTTGGGATTCACAAGCGGCACACCTGTGGTCTGACCTATATATTGTCATGGTCTTACAGCTTCCAGTGTTTCCCTGGTATTTCGCTTGTGGGAGCATTGAACGCAGGGTAGCCTGTGGGCAGCTGTGCTCAGTTTTTACTGCTGTCTGAGATAGCACTTGGGGGGTCGGGGGACTTAGTAAGTAGTTAGTAAGTAGACTTATAAGTACGGTAAAAGGGACCCTAATTGGGGTTATGGTACTTATAAGTCCCTAAAATAACCAGTTACTAAGTCCCCCGACCCTCCAAGCAGAAGACGTGGGATTTCTGCCCTAAGTGGGGAGTCTGAGGCTTCAGGGCTATGGCTTTAGGCTTTGAGGGCTCATGGAGACTTGGGCTCAGGGCTTATCGGGTTTTTACGGTTTAGTGCTTCGAGGGCGGCCTCTACCCCAGAACTGCACATGTCGCGTTCTGTTCACTAGCTGAAGTGCAACGTCGAACTTGCATGTTCCAGGCGCCGCCACCACCACCACCACCACCAACACCACCACCACCACCACCACCACCACCACCACCACCACCACCACCACCACCACCACCACCACCACCACCACCCCCACCACCACCACCACCACCACCACCACCACCCCCACCACCACCCCCACCACCACCACCACCACCACCACCACCACCACCACCACCACCACCACCACCACCACCACCACCACCACCACCACCACCACCACCACCACCACTACCAGACCACGACGACCCGAGAAAGGCATCCCGTACTAATCTACATCCACCCTTTCCCAGAGAGCCCAATACCCCTTAATTAAGGAATATAGCTTAAAGCATAATATGAAGCCCTATATAATTTAAGCCATATTCCTGAATTCCCTTCTAGAACCCCTATAGATCCTTTTAAGAAACCCATTAAGGAACCCTTATTCCTTAATTAAGAGGTATTGGCCTCTCTGGGTTCCCCCGAGCCAGCAGCAGTCCTCCTGAGGGCATCGCAGCCACTTTCACTCCAGGGCCTCTTCCGAGGCGCTTTGGAGAGTACTTGGAAGTTCATGGGTGGTTATAAGTGGGGTTATCAGGATTTAGGGTTCCGTTTGAGGGTTCTTCATGGGTTCTCTAGGGTTTAGGGTTTTAGGGTAGTTATAAGTGGGGTTATAAGTCTCCTAATATGGGTTATGACTATAGTTATCCTACTTATAACCCTACCTATAACTACCCATGAACCTCCAAGTAGGGTCAATTTAGGGCTCATTTTGGAGTTTAGGGTTCAGGGTTTTATCTAGGTCCATCATGGGGAAAAAGCAGCCTTTACACAGATAATATAGGGGCCTTCATAATTAGAATAGGGTTTTGGGGTATATTATACTTTATGTATAAACAGGAACCCTGAGGAATACTATTGGTAATTATTGGGGCCCCTGTAATATCTGCACTGTATATCTAGATCAAGCTCCGAGATCCTCCAGAAAGCTGGACACCATACCTGTGGAACCAAAACCGTACGATTGAAAGAGTCATACCATACAGGTTGAAGGGGTCATAACCTGCTATGTTGTAGGGTTCAAGTAAACCCTACATCCTAAACCCTCAACATCTGAGACTTTCGGAAAGTCTGGCCCGCGAAACCGGCCACTAGAAAACCGCAACCCCTAAAGTAAAAGCCAGAAAGTTGGAATATGATTATCCTAAAGCCTTTATGGTAAATTATAGGGTATCCTACCCTGAAACCATATTCCAACTTTCTGGAGTCCCCTTTAAAGCGGTTGATCCTTAAGCCTTCGGGCCGGGAGGTGATGCTGCTTTTGGACCGGACTCTGTCCTGGTCGCTCTAAACCCTAAACCCTAAACCCTAGACCCTAAACCCTAAAGCCTGAAGCCTAAACCCTAAACCCTAGACCCTAAACCCTAAACCCTAAACCCTGAAGCCTAAACCCTAAAACCTAAAACCTAAACCCCTAAACCCTAAACCCTAAAGCCTTCATCCCACAGCCCTTGACCCTGGCTCTGATTTCACCAGGCAAAGCCCTGAAATACTGTTGATGATAAGAATCGTGCATTATCCATAGTAAGGAATATACCACAATTCCCATAGTTTGGGTCCTTCAGGTCATGCAGGATTTATCTCATCAACCGTGCCCTTTACGAGCCTAGGCTTAGGCTTGTGTCGGCTTGTTTGAAGGGCCCTTCGGTTGGTGGTATGAATCCTGCATCACCCACAGGAAAAGGAATACACAATAATTCCCATAGTTTAGGGCCATCAAGGTGATGCAGGATTTATGTCGTCAACCGTTCGGGTTTCGGGTTTGCTTTAGCAGGGTTTGGGGCCCCGCAACACACACCAGAACACCACATGTTGCGAGCGTGTTTAAGCTGATTTTCTGGTTTTCTGGGCTAGCGGCTGGGCTTAAGCATTACATGGATTTGAAGAATCAAACACCTACTTGTTCAGGACTTGCATAAAGACATTATGACAAGGATTGTTGAACACCTGCTTGTTTAGGAGGTGCTCAGATCCCCGGAAGGATCCAAAAAACGAGCCTCTGCAGAAAGGGCCCATCTTAGCCACATAATGGTAGCATACCTAGGTGGGCTACAATCTGCTCCTTTGAGCATGGGAAACTACATAATGTGCCAGATGCTTGTCCTAAGACTCCAAAGCCACCACTTAGGGAATATACCTGAAAGCATAATATGGATACCCAACATTTTGAGTCTAACACATCCTCCGTACTTGAGGAACCTACCTCACATCATAATGTGGATCCCCCTGTGAGTTTAAGATACCTTCCTGACCCTAAACCCCAAACCCTAAACCCCAAGCCCTAAACCCCAAGCCCTAAACCCCAACCACTAAACTCCAAACCCCAAACCCCAAACCCTACACCCCAAACACTGAACCTCAAACCCTAAATAACCCCAAACCCTAGACCCCAAACCCTAATTGAGGGTTTTGGGGATACGGGCCAAGGCCTCCTTGATGTAGGCCGCAGCCAGGGTGGAGAAAATCAGCGCCTCCGTACTTGGAGGGTCGGGGGACTTAGTAAGTAGTTATTATATATAGACTTATAAGTGCCTTAATAGGGACCCTAATTGGGGTTATGGTAATTAAGTAGGTAGTAAGTAGACTTATAAGTACCCCAAAAGGGACCCCAATTAAGGTTATGGTACTTATAAGTCCCTAAAATAACCAGTTACTAAGTCCCCCGACCCTCCAAGTAAGCTCACGCTGCTACTGTTTAGGGGGTTCATGGGTAGTGGTAAGGCTTCCTTTAAACGGATCTACAGGGATTCTATAAGGGGTATGGGATTCTATAAGGATACCCTTTAGAGGGATCTATAAGGATTCTGTAAGGGTATCCTTTAAAGGGATCTATAGGGATTCTATAAGGGAATCGGGTTTAGGGTTCATGGGTAGCGATAAAAGGTCAAACTGCTACACCCTGTACAACCCTAGGGACCCTTCGAAAAGACTTGCGAATTTAGGGTTCCTTATTATGGCTTCTAGAAATAGTTCCTTTACGGGTAGGTACAACCTATGTATACATATAAACCACAGATTCATATACATTTTTGTATATCTGTGTATCTCTCTCTTTTTTACGAATATGTATGTGCGTTTATATGTACATGTAAGTATGTACATGTATGTATCAGTGTGAACAACGCAAAACACGTGCAGATACCAATATGTGGACACAAATGATTGAGCGCATACATTAATGCATACATACGCAGATACAACATACATACATACGTACATACATAGGTGAGGCTAACAACTAGAAACAAACACCTGAGTACACCAACAAGGCAGTGCACAAAACTAACTTAAGAATCAATGCACCCATGAAAACTCGCATGAACAGATTTGCTCACTATCCATCCATCCATCCATCCATGCATGCATGCATGCATGTAAATATGGTATATGTTCATGCGCACTAACGGAAACCTACTCTGAGTAGCAAGGCCTTCTCACGATTCCTCCTATGACTCAGCCCTGAGCCTACTGATAGCTATGTTGATATTGACTAGTTGGATTGTCTTTGTTGTTTTTCTTATCACTGTCGCTCTTATTCATACCACTCTGATTAGTTGAATTATCTTTATTGTTATTCTTATCACTGTTGCTCTCATTCATACCACTCTGATTGATTAACTGAATTATCTTTAGTGTTCTTCCTATCACTGTGGCTCTTATTGCTCTTGCGACTTAGATCGAGACTCGAGCCTGGATCGAGCCAGCGAAGAGACCCAAGCCCATGATCGGCAGCGGGATGATGAAGGGCACCAGGAAGCAAAGCACCTCGGGAGAAAAGAGTGTTCTAGGTTTCAGGCTTTAAGGGGTTTTAAAAGAAATCAAAGAAGGTCATAAGTCACCTATGAAGCCTTAAACTAGGGTTTCAAAAGGGCCTTATGATGTTACTGGTTTCTGATAAAGCCATTGTAAGCATCTCGGAGGAAAGCGTTCTGAGCATCTTTATATGCTTAGCAGCCCTTGTCGATCCTTAAAGTAAAGGGTTTATTGTTTAGGGAAGGGAACCATAGCAGCCCTGATAAATAGTGAAGGAACTCCTAGAAAGCGAATTTGGGCCTGTAGCAGCTTTTTTTGAGGTCTGAGGGTTTTAGGCTTGACGGGTGAGGAGTTACTGCGATGCCTCGAGGTTGTTGGACTCTGGGTTCAGAATGCAGATTGTGGCTTCGGATAGAAAAGGGGGTACTATTTGGCATCCTCGTATATTGACATGTGCATAGCACGCACGCGAACACACGTACATACCCAGAGGTTCAAGGCACACAGCTTCCCGTGCTCTTTGCCAGCTCGAACCTCTAAACCCGATAAACCCAGCACCCCGTAGAATCCCGATAGAAACGCTCTTAGAAAGGCCGAACCCTAAGTCTAGGGGCCCAAAAAACCCCTACAGGCCCTAAAGCCATATACTAAAGTCCCTAAAACCGAAAACCCTGCAAGCCTCAAAACGATGCCCCACACCTGAGGCCCTGAGTCCTCGGCTCCCACGGTGAGCTCATCCGCCACGACGTTTCCGAAGAGTCGGAAGCTCAGAGAGAGCCTTAGGAGGTTCAGGGTGTAGGATTTTTGGTTCTTGGAACTATTGGGGGGCTACTGTTAGGGTTCTCTAAAAGTTACCTTAAAGGTGAGGGGTGGATGGGGTATAGGGGTTGGCGTTACCGTTAATCTTATTACGGTCAGTATATGGGGAATTAATAAAGCCTTACAAGCGGGATTTGGCTGAACGTTTTTGGCTTGAGATTTTGTGAGACTTTGGCAGAAAGTTTGTGGTTTCTAGGTCGCTCTTTCTAGCCCGAAACCTTAATCCTAAACTCTCCGGCGCCGTCACAGTTTTAAGCAAAGAAGGAGTTTGCTTCACTGTGCTGTTTTGGGGGGGTTCAAGAAAGGGGTGTGTGCTTGTGCGCGGTTAATGCCCTTGAGCGTGTAAGGACTTCCAACTTTGAGGTTGTCGACATTTTTTGGTTTCAAGGCTTTGAAGGTTTTGGGGACCTCCAAGCCTTAGAATCTCTTAAAGCTATTGTGGCTGTGTACGCTTGACGGCTCAAGGAAAACCGACGGGCTTGCCCTAACTTTCCTACGAAACGGAACTGGATGTCTAATGCAGACCCTGTGATTCATACACCCCTGCTCTTCAAGGGCCCTATCTTCAGAATCCATTTTAAGGTAGTGGGATTTGTAAACCAGTGGTCCGCACCAAAAAGTCCACACGCAGAGAAGCACAGACACACCGCGACTATACAAACCTAAACTATAACCCTATATCCCAGATCCAATACCCAAAAAAACTTCAGATCGGAAGCATCAATAACAACACCGACAGACGACAAGATAGGGGTCGGAATAATTAGCAATGGTGTCCCTCTACTAGTCCCTGATGTACTTGCAGTGTAGAATATGTCCCAAGCGCCTATCTTACCCCAAACCCCTGACAAACCCTTGTCTTCTCTGATGGGAAGCCAAAAGGGGGTTTAAAATTCTTGGGGTAGGGATTCCTTAATATGAGCCCTATTATGGGAACCCTAACCCCTACTAAACCCCCATAGACTAAAACACCTTTTGGCCTCCTATGAAACCCTAAAGCCCTAAACCCCTAAACCTCTCAACCCCTTGAGCCAAAACCCTAAAACCCTAAACCTCTAACCCCTAAACCCCTTTTGGCCTCCTATGATTCTCTGTGCTCACCCAGCAGACTTTGGCACGTTTTTCCACTCAATGCCTCAGGCGGCTCGCTAGCGGTTGCCTTAGCCCACGCTGCACGAAGGTCTAAATCACAGGACCAGATAGATAAGTTTAGGGTTTAGGGTTGAGGGTTTAGATAAGATGAAAGCGTAAGTACACAAGTATATACGTACCCTTATAGGTACACCTGTACATGCCAACATATGAACATACTTCTGCGTGTTCTATGATGTATGAACACTACCTCGACACTACATAAGCGACTACATGAACGCATTAGGAAACAAGTGTATACATACACGTAGATAGGTAATATATAGGCAATTGTACCTGCACGTAGCTGCACGTAAAAATACTTCTGTGTGGATACCTATTTGTAGACACATCCATCCATCCAGCCATCCAACAATCCATGACACATACATAAATATAAATATAAATATAAATATAAATACATATATATATATATATATATAATGCACATGCATATATACCTTCTCGATCTGCTTCTCTCCTCCTCTTCCTCTCCCTACCTACCTATAAGGGCCTTAATGATCAGAACTTCTAAAGGAGGGGACCTTTAAGGGTTACTATAAGGGATCTATAAGGGCACTACGATATAGGGGCCTTAATAATTGGAATAGGGTTTTGGGGGCATATTATACTATACTTATAATAAGGAGCCCCCCACAATAGTACAGGTAAGTATTAAGGCCCCTATATTACTCCTCTCTCGTTCTCCTCACTGGGCTAACACGTCGGTGCTTTTGGATCCAATAACTTGGGGTGGCAAGGCTTGGATACCATCATTCGGCTTTGAGAATGATGTTTCATACTCCTTCAGGTGCTTTAGGGCAGCGTTCCTTCCTGCCACCCGGCTTTCTCCCCACATGCTGTCTTGCAGCCGTGGCTCGGCGTGGCATGCTGTCGGCCGTGATGAAGGCTAAAGTGCATCCGGGACGCCTGTGCAATCTCCTGAACAACTGCCAGAAGAGAATGTGATAGAGAAAATGCGCATTAATTAAAGGTTTCGTGAAACCATCCATACGCTGAACCCCGTAAACCTCGACAAACGTAAGTCGCAAGCCCTAACTTGACACCTAATTAGCCCGAAACAGCAAAACCTGAAACCACACATCTCCTGCTTTGGCCAACGCGCACGGGAGCGCCGTTATAACGGCACTCCCATGTGCATTGCCCAAAGCAGCAACCTTCTCTTCAGTAGCTCTGAAAAGATCCCGCCCGGAAGGGTGTCGAACGCAACGCATGGCAGCTGAAACTACGGAGCCTTCCTAACTCCCTATCTGGGTTGCCCAGTAGACCCCAAATCCTACAAGTTGGCTTTTTATGAAAGAACCCACAAGGAGAAAGGGCAAAAGGGTACTACAAGGAAGCCTATTTCATGACAAACCAGCATGAACCTCCTGCCTTCCAGTTCCCGAGAGTGCTCTTCTTCCACGCAAATGCTTGACTTAGGGGCTGCGTACATTAGCCCAGACAAGGTTAAGCTTTTCATTTCTGGTAGGATCATCTAAACCCCAATCGGTTACGTAAAGGTTACTCCAAAACCCTCATGGCACCCTTAATAGTACTCTTATAGGGCCCTTCTGGTAGGATTGTATGAGCCTTAAAAGGCTCAAGCTTACCTGCTCAGCTACTAAATTGAGAAGCAGCTCGAAAAAGGGCACCCTAATATAGTGTGCTAAATAGTAGCATCCTTATTACAAGGACCCCAAAATGAGGTACCCCATAATTTCGGAAACTCTAAACCCTAAACCCTGTAGAGCACCCTTATAGATACCCTTAAAGGAACCCTTATGGATCCCTTTATATAAAGGTACCCCATAAGTTCGGAAACTCTCTCGATGTCTGCAGAAAGCAAAGCGGGCGACACGAAGATCAGGGTTGCCCCCGGAAGGTCCCCGCCCAGAGAGCCCCTCATCCCCTTGATTAAGGAATGCCTAGGGTTCCTTTAAGGGATCGAAAAAGGGATCTATAGGCTTAGGGTTTAAGGGTTCTAATACCTCTTAATGAAGGAATATAGCTTAAACTATATAGGGCTTCATATTGTGATTTAAGCTATATTCCTTCTATATTCCTTAATTGAGGGGTATTCGGCTTTGGGCACCGGAAGACCACAGCCAAACCACATGTAATTCGAATTCGAGTTACTCCTTACATCTAGGCTGTATGGCTTGTGCTTTGCTTGGTGACCCCTTCATAGAAAGGATAAGAACATGTCGGTTCATGTGACACAAGCCCTCATGCCGACAGATCCAAAGATCATCGCACCCCAATCCCGCCATGCTTACCTTTGGCTAGTAGGGAATGGAAGAATGGTAGTAATAGTAGCTATAATTGTAAATCCATTCCTCCATTCCCTACTAACCAAAGGTAAGCATGTGCAATTGCACCGCCTGCGCTCCAAGATCCTGCAGTAAACCCGCACATCCTGGCCGGGATTCCGCCCGCTTCTGGACTTCCCCAGGCCACCACGCGCCTCGATCGCACATCGAGGGCTGTGTGAGGATCGTGGTAAGGGTTTGCAAGGGTATGTAGGGTTTGAAATGGGCTTCCAAGGGTGTCATGAGGCTTCATAACCCCTAAGCACTAACCCACATTCAGCGAGCAACATGGTTAAACACGCACCAACCTAGCATGCAAATTGTGTGCATGCTTGTATTACTCGCACATACAGAGAATCAAACATACGTTCAAACCAACAAGTAAGTTAATACACAAGTGGAAACATATAAACATCTGTATCTCTCATCCTTCATGTACACACATACAACTAAATAAATAGATAAATAAATAAGTGAATAAATAAATATATATATATATATATATATATACATATATATATGTATATATACATACATATATGCAGATCAATGTTTGTGTTTACATAGAAAACACGCAGTATGCATGTATATGTTGGTGTAACCAAGCAAACAGATATGCATACGCATGTGCATGCATGCATGTGCTAAGCAAACAAACATACCTACCTACCTACATACATCATACACGCATGAGGCATGTCTCATACTAATATATGGCCGCAGGGTCATAGATGCTAATACGATCAAGGAAAACAACTGAACAGCGACGCCAAGTAGCCACAAGACTAAGAAGCCACCCTGAAGAAATGCCAAGAAGACGCCTCCAAGCCGCCAGTGGATCCCTCTCATCCCTTGCCCGCCCCACCCCCCCCCCTCAACCCCCACCGCTTCTTATTACTTACTTTTAATTTCACAAGCCCAATGCTAAAGCGCAGCGCATGATCCTAAGCAGGTTGCACCCCAACAAGACACTGAGAACGCTCTGTACTGGTAATGTTGGACAGTCGGATACTTCACTTCCAGCAGCACCGGGCGTTAGCAACTCGGGGCATCAACTCCATGCTCAAAGGGGACTTCGTAAGTAAGGCAATAAGTACGGTATCTATTCTGACAAGTCCTTAAAGACCCAGCCAGAGAGCCCAATACCTCTTAATTAAGGAATATAGCTTACATCATAATATGAAGGCCTATATAGTTCAAGCCAGATTCCTTAATTGAGGGGTATTGGGCTCTCTGGGCACTTACTAAGCTAGGATACCCAGTAACCTAAGAATAAAAAGGCCTCTCTTTTTGGTATTGGGTAACTTTATAAGGAACCTAGGACTACAGAAAGGGAATAAGGATACTACTGGGCATCCTAGGGTATAAGCGCCCGTACGGTTCAATATTTCTGCACCAGAGCAGAGGCACCCCACGAGGTGACTCTTAAACGGAGATTTGGGAGTTTCCGAAAAGAGGGAACCCAAATACAGTAGCCTAAGTAGTAGGATCCTTTATTATAAGGACCCCAAAATAAGGTAGCCCTGAAACTCCCATTTGGATTTTGAAGTATCCAGGGAGAAAAAGGTATAGACTTTTATTTCATAATGGTTCCTTTAAATAGGAGGTAGTATTCAAGTATGGTCCTCCAAACCCAGGGGATCCATGGTTTTCTGAAGCTCCCATGACAAGCCCGATGAAGCCTTCTACGACCCGTCAGAATCCTGCGCAAATACCCTAAACCCAAGAACAAATATCCTAAACCCTGTTAAACACCTTTACTTACTTTTGGTATTTGGGAATGGAAGAATGGTAGTAATAGTAGTTATAATTGTACCCCATTCCTCCATTCCCTACTAACCAAAAATAAGTGTAAGAAGTACCCTTAGTAGTATAGGGCCCCAAATTTAGGGGATCTACTTTCTAGATCCTCCCGGGGGTCTGGGGAAGCCTTTCGAAAGCACAGACTGGGGTCTCCGGCCCCCCGGCAGTCAGGGCCGCAAAGGCTCCGCTGGAGGCCGCCAGATGGCGCACCTCTCGTCTTCACTTGTTTAGGGGTATTTAGGGTTTACGGTTGTAGGGCTTTGGGGTTTTAGGGTTTCGGGCTTTAGTCGCTGAGCGGAATATCGATCTTTCTTGCTTTCTGTCTTGCTTTAAAGAAAGGTTCAGATTTGTAAAGGCGATTAGAGGTCTAGGGCCAAAGGTGTAGAGTAGAGTTCCGTGATTAGGATGTCGAGTTTTCGGGTTTAGCTTAACCTAGAAGCCTAAATGAGTACCAAGATTATCCCTAGGTTCCTTATTGTACCTATACTCGCAAAGGCACCCAAATGCTGTTCTAGCTAGTAAGGCTCCTATACTAAACCGAGGAATATCCTATAAAGTAACCCATAAAGGATGCCTCTAAAGGAACCCTATTCTAATCATTTTAAGTACCAAGGCTTCTATATGATAGGCTTCCCAAGCTGTGTTTAGGTTGCTTAGAGGCAGGGTTTCTGCATGCGCCTAGCGTTGGCGTTATAGGATCCTTAAGGGAGGGTGGTTCAAGGGGGGAGGGTAGAAGGAATCCTTAGGGGACTGTAAGGGAACCTTAGGGAGTACTAGGGAGAATTAGGGATCACTAGGCTATAATACCCCCCTTGGACCCCCCTCCCTTAAGGATGCTACAAGTTGGGGACGAATGCTCGGGTCTGTCTACTATGGGAGCCCTAAAAAAACCAACAACTTTCAGAATAGGTTTTAATGGTATATTGCACTTTAACATACTATAACCGTAGTACTTAAAGGATCATGGGACTTTGTAAGTATGGTTATAAGTACCTTCATTGGGGTTATAAGTAATTGTAAGTGTAGTTACCCTGGTAATAACCCCAGTTACTAAGTCCCATGATCCTCCAAGTAACTTACCGTCAGGATTCCTTTTGGCAATTCAATGGTTCCGGCTTTGCATTATTGGCCGAAAACGGACAACCCTCTCCTAACAACTCATACAGATAGGGGCCTGGATGATCACCAGCATTGGCGGACTATTTTTTAGTGTCCCTAAACCCTGAATCCTAACGTATCAAGGGGGCTAGAAGGAAGTGATATTACTGATTTGTCTCACCTCACTTTGAGGTTAGTTGTAACCGCAGGTTATAACTATCGTCATCCTACTTATAGCTACCCACGAACCTGAAAAACAACACCACACCCGAAATCCTACGGTCTGAACCCGTGGCTCCCTCCAAGCTTTTCCCGACCTCAATCAGCTGCTCCTCCACCTGAAAGCTGACGGGAGGAGGGTCCCTTTGTAACTATACTGAGCTTAGAACGCTGTTTCTTAGGCATTATAACAATAACCAAAAATTAAACACTATTTCTACTTACCCCTGAGGTAATTAGGTCCTCGGAACACTATGCACCCTTATGAAAAGGACACTTAAACGGGACCCGAACTTTGAGAACCATCGGGAACAGGAGCTCATGTGAGATTTGTGAAGCACTCTAGGGGGCTTTAGTGCTTTTGCTGGGTTCTGTGGGGTTTTGTATACTGGGCTTTTAAGTAACCATGGAGAAAAAAGTATAAACTTTTATTTCATAAGGGTTCCTTTACGAAAAAAAGTATTAAAGTATGGTACTACAAAGCCCAGTATAGATGTTTCCGGGGACTTGTGGGGCCGCGGTATGTAGGTAAGTCAAGTAACTACCGGTATCGGACTGATTATGATACCAACTACTTGGAGGGTCGGGGGACTTAGTAACTGGGTTATTTTAGGGACTTATAAGTACCATAACCCCAATTAGGGCCCCTTTTAGGGTACTTATAAGTCTACTTACTACCTACTTACTAAGTCCCCCGACCCCCCAAGTACAGTATTTGTAAACATACTCCTCAATTCCAAACGTTTGGGAGCCCCTCACCTGCTCAATAACCTAGGAATAAAAAGGGCTCCCTTTTGGCATTGGGTAACTGTACAAGGAACCTACGTAGGACTACCAAAAGGGGAATAAGGGTACTACAGGGCATCCTAGTCACAAGCCTCAGGAGCCCTTAAAGTAAAAGCCAGAAAGTTGGAATATGGTTATCCTAAACCCTTTATGGTAAGTTATAGGGTATCCTACCCTGAAACCATATTCCAACTTTCTGGAGTTCCCTGTATGTGCACCTCCATAAGCCCTGCCATGATCATGATACCCCAGAAAATCCGTAGAAAACCCTAAACCCTAAACCCTAAACGGTTTAGAGTTTTTTTGGGTTTAGGGTTATAACACCCTCCAAAGCCCAGAAACTGCACTCACGCTACATCCCTGCCTTAAACCCTAGAAAGCCTATATGAATCTCAGTGAAAGCCCATGAAATGAATCCATTCGCCCTGCAAGGCCAAAACCCTAAACCCCTAAACTCCTAACCCTAAACTTAGGATGTCCTTAAGGGGGGGTGGTCCAAGGGGGGTAGGTAACCTAGTAATCCCCATTATTCCCCAATACTCCCTAAGCTTCCCTAAGGTTCCCCAAAGCTCCCTAGTACCCTCCCCCCTTGAACCACCCCCCCTTAAGGATCCTATAATAAACCCCGAACACCCACCTCTTTGGAGTCCCCGCCAGCGGCGGCAGAGCCCCAGGAAACGACCTTGCCATCCTCGGGCTTACTCGGAGGTGTCACGGGTAGCTGCAATTAGAAGTACTGTTTAAGGTTTAGGGAATTATAAGTACGGTTTAGGGTTTAGGGAATTATAAGTACGGTTTTGGGTTTCGGGAATTATAAGTACGGTTTTGGTTTAGGGAGATATAAGTAGGTGTTATAACTAGGATAACAAAGACTACTGTTACAGCCTATATGGGACCTTCCCAATGATCAACCGTAGAAGAAGTCTTCTGGGACAATAAAAGGATGACGTTGTGCTATTGTTGATGACATGAATCCTGCATTACCTTAAGGACCCTAGACTATGGGAATTATAGTATATTCCCTATTATGGGTGATGCAGGATTTAGATCATCAACCGTAGGAATACCAACCGCTGAACGTAGTACAGGGTGCCGCAACATCTACGGTTCAGGGTTTAGGGTTTAGGTCATGCTAAAGCAACGCACAATTCCGAATGTCCGATAGAACCCTAGCGCCCAGTAAGGCCGTTAACTTATAAAACACTTCTACTACCCTATCAAGCCCTAAAAAACACAAGGAAAACTGTTTTGCCATGAATCCGCTCGGAGCGCAGCGAAGGCTGCGTGTGAAGCTGCAACCTTCGGGCTCTCATGACCATTCTATAGGGTTTCGTAAAGGGTTGCTGGAAAAAACGCCCATATTATACATGTTGGACTGAGGTTTTTGTTGGCGTGTGCGGGGCTGCGACGAAAAAGCATTACTTGGAGGTTCATGGGTAGTTATAAGTAGGTTTATAAGTAGGATAACAAAAGGAATGATCCATATCAGGAGGCCGATATCCCCACTTATAACTACGCATGAACCTCCAAGTAGGGAACCCCAGGGACCATGAAGCCGTGGCACCTCCAAGACATCACAAAGCTGTGCTTGAACATGGCAACAATCACCACCATACTCAGCAGCACCCCAAGTCACGACGCTTCCGTCTTGTCGCAGTGCTGCAAAGGCCCGTGCAGTGGACCAGATGTGCACCACTTCCCGAAGATGTGGCTGGACGTCCAGGCTGTCCCCTCCGCTTTCGGGCGATCCCCATGTGACCACCCGACCATCCATGCGTGCCGCAGCAAAGGCCGCGTCGGTGGCCGCCATCCACTGAATCCCATGCAGCTGATGACGAACTGCTGATAGATCCCGTCCTCCGCCTTGTCCCCAGGTCACTACACTTCCATCAGAACGGATTGCTGCAAAAGACTCCTCAGAAGCCACGATGTTCTTCACGCCCACCAGTTCCCCTTCCACCTCGCGGCTGTCACCACCGGAAGTCATGCTACCCCAGGTCACCACAGATCCATCTGTCCGCAAGGCAGCAAAGGCATACCTTGCGGCCACTATGCGGCTGACACCCACGAGTTCTTTCTGCACGTGCACACTTGCACCGCCACACCGAGAAAAGCCCCATGTCACCACCGTTGCATCGTGCCGGAGGGCTGCAAATGCTGCGCCCGATGACGCCACCTCCCTCACCCCCTGCAGCTGCGCGCGCAAGCGCAGTGTGTCCTTGGGTCCGAGGTTGTATTAACGTGATTGCAGTGGGCTTTCACACCCCTTGTCTTGAGTTCTGCAAGGATTAGCTTTGAGAATGTCTTCTGTTTGGAACTTGTAACCCTTTGAACAGGTAAACAGATCAGCAAGCCCTAAACCCCAAAATCTCAAACCGAAATGGAAAAACTGAGCCTTGAACCCGAACCTTTCACCGAGCTTCGGCTTTGCCACCCCAGTTGGGGTTTCCCCAGGCCACAACCTGGCCATCTGCACGGACGGCAGCGAAGGCGTGGCTGGAGGCCGCGACGTGCTGTACGTCCTTCAACCTGCTTCTTTTTAGGCTCTTATCTAGGGTATTGTTTGGATACTTCCCCCAGTCAGTATCCGTTGGACGATGTTTCGAATCTAGACATGTAAAGCCTTGAATAGTAGTATTAGACTGTTACTGTATGGGGGCAGTACCCAAGGTATTCTTATTCAGGGTTTAGGGTTCGGAAACTAGGATTTTTCAAACGTCCTATCAAGGGTGCCGGTCCAGGGTTGAGGGATTGGCAAGGCTTTAAGCTTTAGGGTTTGGGGGTGTGGGGGGCGGGGCGTCCTCACTAAGGGCTCCTTCTTCAAGCTCCTTCTTGTCAGGGACCCTGACTTAGTAATTCAGTAGTTCATGGTTTAGGGTTTAGGGGTTTAGGGGTTTATGTAGAGTGTTAAGTAGCATAATAGGGGCCCCAATTGCGGTTATGATACTTAGAACTCGATAAGTAACTACTTCTTTAAGTCCCCCGACCCTCCAAGTAAGGCTTAGCATTACAAGTTTCAGGGCGCACTTGCAAGATGCAGACGGTCTCTTAGGATCTGAGAACCCAGGGTCATAAGGACCCTTAAGGGGGGTAGGGGGAGGGTGGGTAGGGCGGTATAGTCCCCTGTACCCCCTAGACGTCCCTATGACAGTGCGCCCCAAAAAGTTATCCTTTTCAATAGGGTTATATAAACCAAAAAGATTAAAGTCTACTCAGCTGGGAAGATTTCAGGGTAAACCGTTGACCCTTCAAACCTACACATGTCTGCCCAAACCCTACCTTAACCCACCCAAAGGTACAGTCCGATTGCAGTCCCTTTAAAACCATGTAAGGGTTTACCGCAAGAACCGAGAAAAAGGCAGGTTTTGGTAGGTTAATGCACACCCTGAGCTCACAAGTTTCCGCTTGCGACTAATCAAAGCCGATACGTTGTCTTTAAACTATGGGGCTTTACAAGGTATGCATGGGTATTTACACGCTTTCTTTGGGCGTAGGCTTAAACCTGGGGTTCGGGAGTTTGGGGGGCGCACGTATCTTATTTATAGCGCCAGCATATCTACAAGACAAGGGGATATAAACTGTTATGACCTTACTGGTTCAGACCTCTCTGTGAGGCGCGAAGATGTACGGTGTAGGGTTCAGGGTTTCGAGAAACATCAGCCCGAGGCACTTCACATCACGAAGTCCGGTGCCCTGGGGGCTTTAAGGGTTTCTTTACAGGGCTTTCAGGGGGTGTATTTCGAGTTTATGCTGGATGACCCTAAACCCAAAACCCCTAAAAACCCTAAAAACCCTAAGAACCCTAAACACCCTGAACCCCCTAAACCCCCTAAACCCTAAACCGATGGTTCCACAAAATCAACCCTGGGCCTGTTTGAAGGTTCATGGGCAGTTCAGGGTTTTTAGGTAGGACAACCGTAGTATAACATGGTTTAGGGTTTAGGGTTTAGTAACCTGTATTATGCACCTTATAACCCCACTTATGTACTTATAGCTGCCCATGAACCTCCAGGTCTGTCCAGGAAGAAACTCCCATATCTTTGAACGTTGAAAGGATCTCTTTAATTAAGGGACCTAGCAATCTCCGGATTCACCTGAGGGCTTGTGCTTTCGTCGAGCAGCTTGGCTTGCACTGGCGTACTGTCCTTGGCAGAGCTTGGGAGGTGGATGTGGGAGTTTCCGAAAATCAGGGCTACCTTAAATTGGGGTCCTTTGAATAAGGATCCTACTAAATAGGGTACTACTTCAACTTTAGGGTCTCCTATATCCGGAAACTCCCATGTAGACTCTGGTTGATCCCGCGTCCGGAAAATGAGGACTATGACAAGGGTCCTCATGCTAAGGCACATCAAGAAAACTCTTTGCCGATTAGTATAGGGGCCTTGATAGTTAGAATAGGCTTTTGGGGCCCAGTATACGAAGGAACCCCCAAAATGCTTTTGGTAATGATTTCGACCCCTACATTACACCCTCATAATCCCTTATAGTGACCCACCAAGGTCCCGACTGATGCGTGGACCTGACGGCGAAGGCCAGGGTGCTGTCTTCACACTACGAAACGAGTACGACTGCTGGCGGTCGAAACGCAGCATTGCAGTAAGTCTATTAATATGGGTGGTTGTCAAAATTATGGTCCCTTTTTGGGAACCCTAAATAATACGTGCCGTCTTATAATAGGGACCCTAAAAGGGACCATAATTTTGACAACCACCCATATGTAGGGGCCTCAATAATTAGAATAGGGTTTTGGGGCCTACTATACCATAGTTACAATAAGGAACCACCAAAACAGTATTGGTACAAACTTCGGCCCCTACATTACCTAAAGGAGCTGTGGCATACCCAGACCATACAGAACCTCTCTCCTGTGGTAGACGACTGATAAGAACTGCGGCCTTAGTCTTGAAGGAGGAAGTTCCGTTAGGTACAGGAATTTTGCTTAGATGGGTAATGTAGGACTTGAAATTCCTCACAGTGGCAGAATCCCCGCTAAGCCCTAAAGTGCCTCAACGACCCTACACTCTTAAGTTCCAAATCCTAGAACCACTCCAAACCGTCAAAGCGCCGAACACCCTCAACTGGCCATCCTTGCTCGTAGAAGCCCTGTAGCACCACCTGAGAACCATTCAATGCTCCGAGAAACCTTTCGAACTCCCATAAACTATAGAGCCATTTAATCGCCTAGGCCCCCCCAAATCAGCTCAAACCTGTCAAAGCATTGAAAACCTTATACACCACAACGTTTCAAAGAAAGACAACCCACACCCGGCTTCTTCGCGCGCTGAGCCGCTCCTCCGCCATCCAAGGCCCCCCAGGTGCACACAGAGCCGTCACGCCGCAGCAGCGCGAAGGCAAACGCCCGGCGGTTGGAGACGATCCTTTGGCTTTTGATAGGGTCGTACTGCAGGTTTGGAGTTTAGGGTTTGGTGTTTATTGACTATTGAGGTTTTGGGTTTGGTTTGAGTTTACGCTTGAAGGTAGGGCTTCGGGGCTTTAAGGTTTAAGGGTCAGGAGTATCGGCTTCAAGGGTTCAGGGTTGTAGGAGTTGTAGGTTTTTAGGAGTCGTCTAGACCTGTCGCTGGAGCGAACACTGGGACTGCGTCAGTGTGACTTGTTTCGTAGCTCATCTTAGCACAACCCATCCAGTCAGTCTCCAAGTAGGCATATCCTGAACCCAGAATTCGGGAGGATCTAGAAAGTAGATCCCCTAATTTGGGGCCCTATACGACTAAGGCCCTAAACCACTCTGGACCCGAAATCCCCGAACCTTACTAGACCCTAAACACCGTAGCAAACCGCAAAAATCTCTAACAACCGCAAAAACCAAGTTCCTGAGTAGCTCCTTTATAATCCAGGTACCCTTGTTCACACCAAAAATGACCAAAGGGTACGTACCACTCAGGAACCTAGTTATTGAATCTTACAATAGAAACTGTAGACCCTTATAGAAATCCAAACAGAACCCCCAAACCCCTAAACCATTCAGGAACCTAGTTATTGAACCTTATAATAGAAACTGTAAACCCTTATCGTAACCCAAACAGAACCCCTAAACCCCTAAAACACTGTAGACCCTTATAGTAATAGAAGCCCATTACAGGTGGGTAGTTCCTCTTCCATAGTACTCCCATAAGACCCTTTTACCTTATAGGAGTGGTATGGGAGGCTTATGGGAAACTACCCACCTAATAACTACCCACCTGTAAATGGCTTAGAAGTAACCCAACTAGAACCCCTAAACCCTAAACCCTAAATCCTTAAACCACTCAGGAACCTCGACTCTCACCCCGAACCTTCCCTAAACCCTACTTGTAGGGTCCGGGGACTTTGTAAGTAGTTATTGTATAGTGTTATAAGTACCCTAAAAAGGGACCCTGTTTGGGCTTATGGTACTTCTAACTCGAAAAATGACCGCTTACGAAGCCCCCCCCCCCCGGACCTCCAAGTAAACCCCTAAACTCCCAGGGCTCCCTTAAAGGGTACTGCGGGTTTTCTTCTCTAATAGCTTAGTTGCTGAGTTCATAAGCCCCCACAAAGTGCACACTTTCAGTTTTATAGCGGGTAGTATTTCCCCAAAAGGTGTAAAGTGTATCCACTCAGCTACTAAGAATAGGGCTCCCTTTGTAAAAAAAACGCAGAGAAAGGCAAACTGGCAGGCAGCCTGCATCGATGCACCGTAGCAGTCACCGTCTCGCCCGGCTGAAGCCGCGCCTTTTTGTGTTCTTTTGGGTTTAGGGTTTTAGGGATTTCAGGGTTTAAGGTTTAGGGATTTAGGGATTTCAGGGTTTAGGGATTTAGTGGTTTAGGGTTTTGGGGGCTTAGGGGCTTGGGTTCCGTGCTTGTCCAGTATCCTAGGGGAACTAAAGGTTCATGTTTGGGAATACATAGGGATTATCTTAGCCCTTAGCCCTAGATCCAAACAGGTTAACGGTAACCTACTCTACTACTAAGAGAGCTTGTGGGGGTGGGGGTGGGGGTTAAGATCTT